GACCTCTGTGCTCCGTTGTGCCTCCATGTGAGAACTCACTCTCTCATCACCAAAGGAGATTAGCATCAGAAGATACTCAGCACGGCCACGGCCACGGCCACGGCCACGGGGCTCTAGTGTGGGGAGCAGATGGAGAGGCAATGCCCAGGGGCAACGCAGGAAGCCCACAAACCTCTCAGAGAACCTCTGGAGAAGAGAGGCCTCTGGGTCTCCCGGGGAGGGGGCTGGCTTGTGTGGATGTCCAGACGAGGGGCACATCTGGGCAGAGGCAGTGGGCGGGGGTGGGAGGGCGCCTTCCCCTCTACACTCCGGGGCTGGGCTGTCCCAGTGCACTCTGTGGCCGGGCACATAGGGGACAGCCGGGCAGAAGGCAGCTGTCGCTCACCTAGCCAGGAGGGAGTCACCTGCGGCCCTGGGCGGCGCTGTGCTCAGCGGGGCTGCTTACAATCACACACCATCAGCCCTACACCACCACATCTCGATGAGCCCACTTCATTTATTACCAAAATATCACACAATTCCAGTCAGAGTTAACATACAGCATTTAACACAAACCTGATCCCTGTGGAAAGATCTAAGTATTTGGACAATTGAGTCATTTGGAACCGTAAGTAACACCCCAAACCGATATCACTCCGTACTCCAAAAATACGCTTTGAGAGCTTTGGAAACTGAATTAAAATGTCTACACAGCTATGAACAATTGTTTAATAAAACTTTTTCATGTTTCCATTACATGTAAATATATCAATTTGGCATCTCTATAAAAACTCTGAAAATGGTGCAAAAGTTTCATTCTCTTTGAGAAAGCCATTGACAAAAAATATTCACACTTCACTAAAATTTTGAAAAATGGTCTTCTTTCAAAGCTTCTTTATTAATCTGAAATCTTCTGGATTATCAAAATCTAGGTTTGCTTTTTTCCTCCTAAAACACTAAAGAACATTTATTCACAAGGATAAAAAGGCAAATGGGGAGATGGAAAACTGAGAAGGGCTTTTTTTTTTTTTCCCTGAAAATAATAAAAAAGAGCTAGTTACATAAGCATCCTCAAAAGAACACAATGGGATTCATTTTATTGTTGACTTTTGGACAGCAGTGTCAGACTTTATTGAAAACAAACCCATGTAAAAACAAAGTTAAAATGAAAAAATGGTACCTGAAAAATAAATTATTTTATATAAAACAAATCAATAACTTAAAACACACTAATATACAAAACGTCTACCCATCTACTGTACAACACGGGAACCAGCTGGTCGAGCGCCCGCCCCCCCCCCAGAGCAAGTCACTGGAAACGGAACAGTACATGGTAACGAGGTGGCCCCAACCCACGGACAAGGCTTCTCTCCCGGTGGAATGCCACAGAGCCCTCTCAGAGCTGCTGCTCGAGCCTTCAGTTAGCCTAACTTAGGTCCCTGCGGTGACGTACAAGTAATTTTTTGTTTTTTTTAATGACCAAGCAGAAAACTGGAAACTAGGTCACCAAAAGGCTGTGGGAAAATATATGATACAATCATTAGAAGTCAGAGGCAAATCAAAAGGTTTGGAAGCGTGCACCCTGCCGGAGGTCTGGGGTTCGGGTTCTACTGCTCCGGTCAGCGCCGGCCAGTCGTCAGTGCCGCCAACAGAAAGCACCGGCGACGTGGGCCGGGGGCCGGGCCTGGGAATCTGATGGACAGCGGGAGGTGCTTCCTGAGGAGCTGCCTCAGGTCCCAGAGGTGCCAGAGGTCCTGGGAAGGTGGCAGAGGTTTCAGGGGGAGGGCTTGGGGAGGGCGGTGGCTGGGGGCAGAGACCTTTGGCAGCTTATTCTTACTCTCTCATCAGCCCAGGAAGGCTGCAGAAAGCGCAGGGAAATAAAACCAGGCTGGATCGGATGTGAAATGGAACAGCTGGGCGATGTTAACTTTGATTTTCAAGGCCGACAGCGGACTTGGGGTCGGTCGACTTGGGGTCGGTCAACGGCCCCAGTTTGGAGGCAAACCAGGACGAGTTATTGCCAGTGACCCTCTACAGATTCATCCCCTGGTCTGACCCAGCAGGGGCCACAGCCGCCGCCCCGCCCCCCCGCCCCCCTCCCTGCTCCCCAGCTGCCGGCTCAGAAAGCACCAGCTCCCTACAGCCGCTCGGGTCTGGCCCTGGACGCTGGCTTTCCGGCATGAACACCAAGTGCAGACTCTCACAGGTTAAGGCAGCTGCCCTTGGCAAGGGAAGGACTCACCTTCAGGGAACAAAGAAGGCAGAGCCTGCCCAGCACCATCTGCCTACAGGCTAAGAAAGCCTGTCTCGCAGCTATTCCGGCAAGATGGTGGCGGGGGTGGGGGGTGGGGGGTGTCCCAGTCACAGGACGTGCGACTAGAGGCACAGCTAGCGCAGAAAACCACAGCTTGGCGTATTACCATGAAAAACTAAAGAAGGGCAGAGCCAAGGCGTAGAAAAGTGACTAATAATTCAACCGGAACCAGGTTCAGAAATTTGGAGCTTCTTAGCAAACGACTATCAGGGGAAGTTACGCCAAAAGAAAATTCAGTCAAAGCCTCTTTGGTATTTATGTACCAAACCAAACTTTCGATAAATTAACATTATCTACCCTTTAATTCTTTTTTTTTCATCAAAATTCCCAAATAAAAGGAGAGCACTCATTTTGCGAAATACAAATATGATTGACCTATGTAAAAAACTTTTAAAAAACAGTTTTCTTTTGGATCGTGACTTTTAAAAAATGGGATCTTCCTTTTTGCAAACAAGCCTGGAAAAGAGAAAATGAACCTTTTGGACACAGGGCCAGCACCTGATACATCACCGGGAGCGACAGTTGCTTTTCAGGGTTAAGTAGCACGTCAAGAGGGAAAGCCTTCTACACACCTGCAGACTCGCACTCCCACAGAAACGCTCTGGGGTTTTAGTGAGAAGGCTGTTCAGAGTGGAGCCCGCGTGAAACGAGGATTTTACTGAACTGAGAAAGCTCAGGCAACTTTCAAAGGCTCTTCCCCTCCTCAATGCGAGCATCAGAGTAATCAATACGGTTCGGACAGCAGGGAGGGGAGGGGAGGAGCGGCGGGGCTGGCTCCGAGCCCACCATCGTTTCACGGTTTAGGCTTCCAACAGGATTCGAGGAAGACATCGAACACTAGTGAGGGCGGGCAGGAATGTGTGTCGAGGAAGAGACCTAAGGGTCGCTTTCAGAACTGGGAATCTCATCTTCACTGAGAAGACGCTAGCCCAAGCGAGCACAAGCTGAAAGGCATATTCTTCCAGGAAAACATCCTGGTCTGCGGTGAGGAGGGCTCTGGGGCGGACAGAGCAGGGGGCACCCCTCTCCTGTGTCAAATGCAGGCAAACGGGCCTTGGCTCTGGGTTCCAGGAGGAGGCACGTAAGCTGGCTTTGACTCAGGATCTGGAAACTTCCGCTGGAGGCGGGGGCGGGGGGGGGTGTCCTCCATGGCACATGGCCAACTTATGAGAAGGCCTCCAGGTATGAACTTGGCCCCTTCTGTGGGAACACAGCACGACATCTCATGTCGGAGAGGATAATGCGAGCAGTTGGCAGCCCCTCGGCGAAGTCTGAGGGATACGGGGCTGGGACAGGCAGCCTCAAGTGGTCCGGGGGCTTCTCAGAACACTGACCTGCTCTGGAGAAGGCTGTGCCCACTTTTTTTTTTTTTCCACTTAAATAAATAAATAAATAGGTCGGTAGGTAGGTAGATAAATAGAGATAAATAATACCACAATTGCATGATATTGATCAACTAAAACTGCCTATTGTTATGTGTTTTAGTCTTATGTCAAGGCTAAAAACTGCTGGTACTAAGTTCTCCTGTTTTCGATTCTCTCTAAACACTAGGTATTTGTCAAAGTCACATCACACTCCTGAGGAGTTGCCTAGAGGTCCGGCCCTGCTACTTCTCAGGCTCTCTCTCTCTCAGACTCTCCCTACTGGCTCCCCCGTTTTAAAAAACGGCGTCTGTGACCACACACACCTACGTCACAGACCTGTAAATGCTTTGTCTCGAGGCAAGTCTTTGTTTCTTAAGATCTTTTACAAATCCTCCCTGAATGCTGGCCGTCTGGACCTTACCTAGCCAAAAAGAAAGAAAAGGTAAAATAAAAAACAAAACAAAATTCGAGCAAAACAAAATCAAATTTAATGGTCTTAAATGCAAAAGTAAAAACAAACAAAAAACACAAAAAAGCAAAAGAAAATTAACAGAACAGAACAACCCAAAATGTCAAGGCAGTTATGAAGAGAACTTGGGAGGGTTAATCTTTAAAACTACAAATCAAAGGGTTTTTTTTTGTTGTTTTTTTGTTTTGTTTTTTTTTGTTTTTTTTGTTAATAGATAACTGGCAAGAAGTAAGTACTTTTCTGCTGAGTGTTCATACGAAAGCAAAGTTTCAAAACAAAATCCGACTAAAATAGAAACAAGTCTAGCGCTCACGAGAAGGGATGCGAGAAATACAGTGCTCAAATGTTTCTGTGTTCTTAAAGTATAGAGCGATCTTAGGCATTCGAGCTGTGTGAACTGCTCTTGGAAAGTGGAGAAATGACCGGGAACACCAGTGCCCGGTGTGCGGGGCACCGCGCATGCAATGTGTGCACAGAAATTCGGGATGTCAGAGGAGCAGCCCGTCTTCAGGCACGCCTGGAGTTAGGTCTGACTCTGGAATATATTGGAGTTTCCCTGAAACTCTTTGGTCCGTTCCCACTGGCGCCTGGGCTTACGAAACCCGTGCGTGTCCTTCTCTGGAGGGCCCGGCGTGGCCCGGCGTGTGGCCCCCCCACCTCCCCGGTGGCAGCCCCCGGCGGACGGCCCGCGGCAGAGCCCCGGGGCTGAGTGAGCAGGAGGTGGCCATGGCAGCTGCTGGGGAAAGCGATTTCCTGTCAACCAAAGCAGAAATCGCTTAAAATGTTGAAGCGGTTGAGAAAACGCACACTCAGCATCTGTCTAACGTCTTTAGTTGGAAAACTAAAACTAAAAGGTCATGTCTTTTTTTTTTCTTTTTTTTTTTTTTATATCCAGTTTGTGGAGACACCGAATGAAACGAGTGTTAGACAGTCTTAGAAGTTAAAGCATGCTTCAGGGTCACCACCATCCCGAGGGACCGGTTAGTCAATGCAGTCTACTTAGATTTCTGTTTAATATATATTTTAAAGGAAATAACTTAAGAAACTTAAATTGGTCTAACATTGTGGGATTTCAAACATTTGAACATGTCGGTTGCATCCCAGAGTATAAAAACCTTTTCACTTCTCATTTAGACTAAGACAAACACTTGTGAAAATTGGCGCAAAATGAGTTGTACACTAACAAAAAAGTTTCAACTTCTTCACTCTTAATTATCTATTCCGTACAAAAAAAAAAAAAGCATGAGCGAGTTATTTGTGGGACTTGTTGGTTTTGAAGGAAACCTGTAAGATTTTGTCCCCCAGGCGGTAGCCGTTCAGACTTGCTATGGCCATGGCGGCTTCTTCATAGTTTGTCATGGTCACAAAGCCAAAGCCTTTGCACTTGTTGGTGTTGAAGTCGCGGATCACTTTCACATTGGTGACAGCCCCAAAGGGGCCAAACATCTGCCAGAGGATCCCCTCATCGGCGTCCTGCCCGAGGTTGTAGATGAAGATGCACCAGCCCGAAGACGCGTTGCCCGGGACATTGACACCAGAAAGCCCACTCATGTGATCTACACCCATAGGGGAGAACCTAGCAAACAGAGAGCACAGCATGCAAGTCAAGGTCACGTGGGCTGGTGTGCGACGCAGGGGTAGGGGCAAGGCGGGCACACCCCCATGGGTCACGAACGGGAAGTCGGTATCGGGGGGCGCTGCTCCCCGCTCTGCAGAGAGCTGGCCCCAAGGAGAGACACTTGCCACCTGCAGAGGGTCAGAGCCTCAACCAGCTCCCCTTGGAGTGACGGCCTGTCAGTGACCAGCCACTCCCTTCAGCCCTTCCATCGCTGGCGGGGAGGATGGTGGTGGTCCTGTTTAGTCATTCCTGGCCTTCCCTCATGTTAAAGGATGGAAGCTTCTCCATGTCCCCCTAGGTGCTGTCATACCTGCAGATCTCCCGAGAGGAAAACTTGCTCTTTACACCCTACGCCTCTATAAATGTGTATGTGTTTGGCCAGTGGGAGCAGGGGATTTTTTTCTTCCTCCCCCCACCATCTAAATTCTGTACCCTGCCCTCATTTTGACTGTCCCTGTCAGCGGGGTTCCAGGGGAGCGCAACCCTGTGAAGGGCCAATGCAGGGCACAGGGAATTCCTTCCCACGGCTCCAGGCCACCTTCCGCTGCGGGTTCACAGCATCCCAGGAGGGCCAGGAGCCCAAGTTATGGCTGTGAACTACAAGTCTGCCAAGCTGTACCAAAACCGTGGGGCCCTTTCCAAAGCAATGCTTTCAACTGCATACACGATGAGCCTTCTGCAAGCGTGTGGCCACTGCAACAGGATTAAAGGAGATGATAAAATTGTTGCTGAAGCCACATGGCCTCTGAAGGTTTCAGAAAAATGGGACTCTGGTTTAAGAACACCCGAGTGTGACACAGCATCTGTGGGGTCACGCCATGCAGGAAGTTACGACCTGCTCTGAGACAGAACCGGGCTTTGAGCTGTGGCACTGGCCCGGGAGGGGGGCAGGAGCTTTCAAGGGTCATTCAACAGATCCATCTTTTGAGAGACGCGAGACCGGAGTGATGGGCTCCCCGGGAATGGCCTGCTTATCCGGAGATTCTTTCCGATGCGGGTTTGGAAGAATCAAGATACAGGACTGGCCGTGTCTCTGAATCTGCAAAAGTACTTGTGAACAGCTCACACCGGGATGTCTGAGCTGGTTAAAATGACTCAGGTGGCTTGTTAATGGACTTGATTCTGCCTGAACAGTGATCCCAATGTCACTGAAGCGGGGGTAGGAAAAAACACCCTTGTTATCTGTGGGATAGTAAGCCACGGTGGTTTTCAATGAAAACTGGAAAGATGTTTCGACTTTTAATGGACCCTCATCTCCCCCCACCCCTGGTTTTGTGGGAAATCAAATATGGGCCCGAGTTATGCCAGTTAACCGGAACCTCATATACCTGTTGTACTGAAAGTAACCTGAGGCCTTATTTCATGGGTTCTCATACCTACTAATCAGCATTAACTGGTTCTTCTCCGGCTCACTGGAGCTGGTTTCTTTCATCCTGACCACCGTGAAACCCACCTTTCCATTCTTTTCTCTGATGATACAAAGGAGAGCTGAACTTTCCTTTATTTGGGGGCTTTTCCTGCCGTGAGAACTGACTGTGAATTCTCCGCTCCGCTGGCCTCTCTCCCTCTCACTTGCTGAGTCTGTCTTCCGGTGGCATGTGTTCCCTCCTGCCTCCCCGGCCACCCTCGCTGCCCTCTGGCTCTTCTCGCCGTGAACCTCTCTGGTTGTAGGGACCCCCTTCCTGCCTGGCCAGCAGTTTCGGCTGCTCTGGCCCCCTTCCTTTGCTGTCGCTCGTTCCTGCGACCAGAGCCCCTCCACCTCCCTCACCCTTCCCCGGCTGCCCGGGGAGCTGGAACCCGCTGCACGTGGCTGTCTGCGCATTCCACCCGATCGGACTATGCTCCTGACCTTCAAAAATGGATGGAGCTCACTTCCGCCCCAAGATACTTCCCCTGCTTTTGTCCTTGAACTAGAAAAGCCAGCGATGGAAGGCCCACTCTGGAACCTGAGCCGAGCCGAGAACTCTGCATTACTAGGTGCCAAAATCAGTGCCTCCCCAAATGGCCTCTGCGCCGACGAGCAAGGTTGTACCCAACCTCGCCGATAAACACAAAGATGGGAAACCTGCAAAGTCGCAGAAAAAAGGTCCCTAACCTGCCCGAGATAAACCCTCACGCCGCTGCTTTAGGTTTTGACAAAAACAAAACCAAGGGGCCCGTCCGTCGGGACTGCCGCTCCTTAAGAAGCAAACACACCCGACCTGCGAGCCCAAGCTGCTGACTCTCACTGTCTCTGTCCTACTAGATCCTGGTGACTGGTCACTTTCAATCTGGAAAGATGAAGGGATGTCGGAAAACCATTCGCCTCCAGGACGGGGCTTCTCACCAGCGAAGCCCTGGGGAGGTGGAGGAGTGAGGGCTCCCCGCAGGCCAGGGAGCCGGGCAGCTCTCACCTCTGCACGCCTGGGGCTGCGTGTTCCCGCTTATACACTCCCAGCCCCTCGGGGCACCAGACCCCATACCCGGGAGTGCTCTGCACTCCCCGCTCCCTGGGCTGGCTGGAGACGGAACCCAGGAGACTCCGATGGAAAGCTTCGGCACAGACACCTTGTGGTGGGGGCGGGGGCGTGGAGACGGGCCAGGGCTCAGACCAGCCTCATGGGCCCCGCGAGCCGCGGGGGGGGGGGGGGGGGGGGGCTGCCCCCCCCCGCGGGCCGCCCCCCCCCCCACCTGAATCTCTGCGCCTGGTGGTGAACGGGGCCTCCGAACCGTCTGGCAGGTGAGTGGTACAGCTGGGAGAGCAGCGCCACGTTTTTGTTCTGGTTGGGGTTGGCTGCAAACTTCACTGTAATGGGCTCGGAGGAACCTGGGGGTTTATGACCATTGAAACTGGTAATTGCCTCTTCTGCCTCCGACCGTTTGTCAAACCGGATAAACGCAACCCCTCTGGACAAACCTTTTCAACAAACCAACAGAAACGGAGTTAGGGGGGAAAAGGCAATGATTTTTCAAACTGAAAAAAAAAATAAATAAAATCAAGTCAGTCAGGCTGCTGTGCTTCAAACCGGACGCTATCTTCCTGAGGGAAACAAAAATTAAACCTATATAGGGAAATGAATGAGTGAACTTTTAAAAAACATAGACTGATAAAAGATGAAGGTTTCGGACTTCCTTCTGGGTTGCAGCAGCTATGATCTCTGCCGAACGTCTCCTGCTGATGGCTCTCTCACTCAAACCTCTTTCTCAGAACAAGCCATGGCAGAAGGGACGCCTCCCGCCATCGCCCCGGCAGCGCCCGGTGCCCGCGGGCAGCGGACGGCCAGGCCAAGGAGCAGGCAGGCGGGCAACGGGGTCGGGTCTGAGGGACTCTCCCTGTGCTCCGGCCGGCAGGGCCCGGGAGCAGCCGCTGTGAACAAGGAGTGATGGTCGGACCTGCGGTCCTGCCGGGCCTTTGCAGGCTGTCGCCTTCCCAGCTGGCCCAACAGAGTCCCTGGCGGCTCGGCCTTCTCCGTCATCCCCAGAGGGCACGGAGTCCTAGCGAACAGCCCTTTCCGCCTGCCCTCGGCTCACTCACCTTTTGGATGTTCCATTCTAAGGTCCCACTCCACACCTGTTCTGCTCCTGCGTGGCAAGGCCCAGGACCCCCGTCCCCGGCCTCCAGCTGCCTCGGGAAGGCACTGTCTCTTGCTACCTAGACTGAGTCTCCTGAAGTTGGCCTGGGGTCCCTGCTGTAACCTAATCTCTCGACAGAGTAAGAATGTGGGCCGGAACCAGGCTGCCTGAGCTCTGAGGCCCGATTATGAAGGCAGTGGCTGGTGTGGCACGTGCGTGAAACCTCGCAAACTGGGCAGAAGGGACTCGGCCACACTCCACCCTGATCCGGCTGCATTCTAGGCCCGGGGGGGAGTGAGAACCGTCCCCTGCAGAACTTGACGAACAGGGTGGGGCTGGGGTGAGGGAAGGTGGAGCCGTGGAAGAGGACCGGCTCCTTCTCTGGGGAGAAAAAAAGGGGGTCGAGGGTGAAGGTCCAAGTGCAGTGGAGACAGGACAGCCAAGGGCCAGTCTGAGTATGACGTCACGGCGGGAGTCACGGATATATTCTGGGGTGGTGGTGGCGGGGTGACTGTGGGAGACAGCCCTATCCCAGACACGCTTGTCTCGACTGCCAGTCAGAGCCTGTCTGAAGTCGCATTTTCTTCTCCAGACAAATACCTTCAGCACACAGTGAATGGCAATTATTAAAGCAGGACAGCCCAGGGCCTTGGGCCACCAGCTAAGCGAGTGCACCAGGTGTCCCCCAGGCAGCTCCCACTTCCTGCACCTTTCCTTGCCCCTTCCCACAGAGTCCCACCAACTACCGCACGACGGGCACAGGCTGTGGGTCTCCCCTGGCCGGCCCAAAGGCCACAGAGGGGCACAGAGAAACTCAGACATGCCAGGTGGGATGCTGAAGTGACAAGTGCACTGTGAGGCACAGTCACCCACTCTGGGCTTAGAATCCCATGCCTCAGCCTCACTCCGATGCACCATCGTGGGCCCCATCTCAGCAGCCAGACAGCAGCCAGGGACCCTCGGCCACGGCTTCCTTGTCTACAGCTTAACACACCACAGACAGCCCGTGGTGAGTCCGAAAGCACAAACCCCAGCTCTCCCAACTGGGAAACTCCCCCTCCTGGCGCTCCCCAGCACAGCACCCTGGAGGGCCACACAGCTGCTTCGAGTGGCCTCCCGGCTGCCTCCACCTCGGCTCCGTGATTGTTGAAATATAAATTTAAAATTCACACAGCCAGGGGTGCCTGGGTGGCTCAGTAGGTTAAAGCCTCAGCCTTCGGCTCGGGTCATGATTCCGGGGTCCTGGGATCGAGCCCCACATCAGGATTTCTGCTCGGCGGGGAGCCTGCCTCCCCCTCTGTCTCTGCTTGTGCTCTCTGTCTGCCAAATAAATAAAATCTTTAAACAAAACAAAAAAACAATTCACACAGCCAGAGGCACTGAATTAGTGAGAACAAACCCAGCAATTCACACGTGTACCAAGAAAATTCTAGACACTGAGCTCGTTTTCCAATTTCAGTTCAGAAGGAACACCTAAAACCACACACTCAACATACACGGTTTGCATGTCCTCTTGAACAGCACGAACGACAGCCCTGACAGACGGGCGCCTGAACGGATGGTCAGCCTCAGGCACACGTAACTGCAGCCGTTGCTGGCTGGCTCCTGCAGAAAGCCGCCCTTGGGCTCCTGTTCCCGGCTCTGTTCTACGGAGAGGGACCCTGCTGTTAAGCAGAGCGGGAGTGTGTGTGCGGGTGTGGTTTCGCTGCTCAGTTTTGTAAAATGACTTTCAAATGGGAACCGCCCAGGGGAGATGAAGAGAACCCAAAGAAGAGAAAGTCAGCGATCTGACGCGACGTGCACCTAACTAACCAACCTACTGAACGGTCTGAGGAACGAGCGCCTTTCGAAGCCGGCCCTGTGGTTTTTTCCCTCTAATGGTTTTAGAATCAAGGGCAGAGATCAATGAATGGCGTGATTTCCAGATGAGTAAACTATAAAGTTCACAACTGAGCTGGGTAAGAAGGCAAAAAAGATTTACAAACGAAGTTCTGTCAACGAAGGTTAAAGAGCTGCTCCTGCCGCCCACGTGACGAGCACATCGCACGGAGGCACACGGGACACGCAAGCCAGCTGGCCACGCTGTTCTCCGCTCCCCGGGGATGCCTGTGGGAGCGTGAAGCTCCCGTGGACGCCACACTGAGCTCACGGCCAAGCCGGGCGCCCTCCGATCCCGGGGCGCCGCCCCCCACTGAGACAGCAGCCTTACAGAGGGACGGGAGACCAGAGGCCCCACAACAGGCTGTGGGCAACGGTCTGCAGAAGTGACCTCCCTCGGGTTGGCGGGAGCCCCTGGGAAAGCTAGTGGCCGGGGCGGGGGTGCTCTTGGGGAGAGCCGGCTCTACTCCGGCCGTGCTGGGCTGCACGGAGACGAGCAGAGGCACAGCAGGATGTGCGGCAGGAGGAGGACGGCCACGGGAGCAGAATGTAGCACGGTCACGCCATCCAGGTCCCCAGGCAGCCCACACAGGTGGGGCTGGGGATAAACACGCGCACCCGCCAGCCGACTGGACTGTTCTCTCTCAACGGCCACTTGCCGGTCAGTAAGGGAGCTTCCGGGACTGCAGGAAACCGTCCTGGGGCAAGCAAGGGGGTTGATACTGAGGAGACGGAATCCCTACCCGACCTCACCCCACCCCGACCCCAGGGCGGTGCAGAACAGAGGCAGCGGTGTCATCCTCGTCCCTCCAGCAGAGGCTGGAGTCAGAGCAGGTGTCTGCAGCAGGCACGGGGCTGCTCAGAGCTCCTGGGAAACGCCGGTGAGCTGCACCTGCGGGCCACACTCCGGAAGGCCCTCCTCCCCCTCCAGGCCCTGGGGACTCACGCCGGCCACTCCTGTCCAGGCCAGGCCTCGGCCCAGACAGTGGGGCCAGCATACGCAGAGCTGAGCTTCCACAGAGGGGGTGGGGCAGGGAGGGCAGGTGGCAAGGCCACCCACCCCAAAGCACACAGCTCAGGGAGACGCAGGTAAGTGTGTGTGCACCTCTGGCCATGGGCCAGGAAGGCCCAGCCCACCTGCTCTCTGGGATCCGCTCTCCAGCCTCCTGGGGGCACTGCTGGTCTCTTGGAAGGGAGGTCCCCTCCGAGTTAGAGGGCTTCCTGTGCCCGAACTACCCAGGGTTTGCTGTAACACCACAGCCGAGGGGGTGGCGAACACACTGCGCTGCAAGAACATGAAAACCAAGCGCAGAGCATTGCAACAGCTTCGTGGGGCTCCAGGAGCAAAAATCTTCCTGGCCAGCGTGTCAGCAGGTTCCCACTCGTGGTGGGTACAGAACTGAGGAGTCCTAAAGCAGGTGCGGCCCAAGTTCGCTGCTCCCCATGCAGAGCCAGGCCCAGGGCTGGCAACTGACGTCCCGACCCCAGTCTCTAGGCCGCACAGTCAGGGCTGGCACCAGCCTCCTGCACAGGGTGGCTCCCGGGCATGGGGGGTCCTCAGCGCAGCTGTGCCTCACTGCCTCCTGCGAAGCCCGAGCTGCTAAGCTCCCGGGCTGAGACAACCTAAGAGGGGCTGCTGAAGGGGACAGGATGGCCAGGGAGGGGAATTTACTGCCTTAAGCAATCCGAGCTTTGAATGTGCCACCAGAGGGGCAGGGGCATCCGGACCGAGGAGACTGGAGACCAGCTCCTCAGAAATAGCCACCCTGTGGCTTCAGGCCAGTGAGAGGCGGGGACTCTGCATCGTGCGGGAAGACGGTCCCGCACGGCATACCGTGTGCCTACGAGAGCAGCAGCAGCGAACGGCTGACCGGTGCCTTTCCAACCCACTCACGAGCCAGGCTGGGACATGTGGATGCTTGAAGGAAGGTGCCAGGATCTCTTGGTGTTCTCACCATAACGTGCTGGCCTGACACGGGGGCAACTCTGCTACCGTTTTACCTTCCCAGCCTCGCAAAACAAAAGCCAAGGTCTTCTCCTTTGGAGTCTGTCCTCCCTGGGGGAATAACTATTCTGCTGCTGAAACTCAGACAGCGACCTGTCCTCCTGGAAACTCTCGCCCCTGCAGGAAAACCTCAGCCCACATCCGGGCTGCCCACTGTACCTGTGGTCTGATCCACAAGGACTCGGGAGTTGATGATTCGCCCGAACCGAGAGAACATGTCCTCCACGTCCTTCTGGGTCATGGTCCGCGGGAGCCCACTGATGTACAGGTTGGCGTCTTTGATGACCTCTGAGCTCGGGCGAGCGTACGACACCTTGAAAACAAAACCACTTTCTGGGGTTAGGGCAGGCGTGTGGCCAAAGCATCGAGGGAGGGGGTTAACTTTCCAGGCGGGAAAGAGCCACCTGTCCAGGGAGAAACCATGCCGACACTCGTCGCCTATGGCGGCTCATGCGAGCAGCTCACCTGGGCCGAGCAGCGAGCCAGACAGCGCCTAGCCTGGACTTTACACCCCATGGCGAGGCAGACATAGTCCAAGTTCTCAAAGCCAAGGGATTGAGGGCCCGCAGCTGGCGGCAGACAGGGTGACTGCTCAACCCCAGCTGTCTCTCCTCCCACCTCGGCCTCCCCCCTCTGACAGCGAGCAGGCCGGACACGGGACCCAGTGCTGTCTGTGAGGGGCCCGGAGGGCAGCGGCTCTGGAGCTGGGTGCCACCCAGAGGGTGCCGCCCACCTCCCTGAGGCAAACTTGCCAGTGGAGCCCAGAGGGGACCCAGGGCTGCTGGGGGAGCCCGCAGTCCAACACTCGAGTGTTCGATATTAAAGGACTCCATGCTTTTTGGGCCTTTGTTTTTGTAAAACTGAAAAAAGCCTGAAAGAAACTTCCACAGCAGCATCCATAAAACAGCACGTGTGCGCCCTGGAGCAGAGAGGCTTCCGCGGCCGGCCAGCCTTCGTGCTTTCCCAGCTCAGGGTCAGGGCCACGGCTGTGGCTGGCCAGGAGGAGAGATGGGACTGAGGCCACGGGGGAAGGAGCAACTGTGACAGGCCCCCTCTGCAAACAGGAGGCCTGAAGGTAAAGGACTTGATCGCACCCAATGGAGTCAGAACCGAGTTAGGAGGCTGGGAGACGAGGTGGCGGCAGGGAAGGGGGCTCCAGAAGGGTGGGGACTCGGACCTGTGCCAAATCACGTGCTGAGGGTCACAAAGCTGAGCAGACGAGGAGCCTGAAACCATAACCCAGGAGCAGACACAACCTCTCAGGCGTCACCAGGCAGCACGAGGCCACGGACAACAGGTGTCCTCCCACAATGCTCAGGCCTGCCAGGAGGGGCTGAGTGTGGCTCCTCACGGCAAGCACACATGTACCCCTTCATTCCTGTGCTTGCTGACTCCGAACGCACACCAGGCCCTGAGAGGGGACGACAGGCAGCAGGACGTTCGCCAGCAGGGCAGGAAGCAGTCCAGTGGGCAATGCAGAAGGAAAGAGAAACTGTGTGCGGTCAGAGCCTGGCTTCCCCCTGCAGAGCCACCAAGGATCGCAGAGGCTGGACATCAGACGAGAGTGGAAGAGAAGTGGCCCTGACTGGAAGGACACCCCAGGACACCAGGTCCCATCAGGGGCAGGCAGCCCCCAAGCAGTAGCGTTGCCCAAGCCGCACGTTCCCCGCCAGCTCCCCGTGCGGGGTCCAGACCCGACGCACCGTGGTTAGGCCTACAGTACAGGAATGCTGTGGGCACTCGGTGACACACCCAAGGCCTGGGGCAGACGTGGTATTGTCCCCTGAGATCCAGGCCACCCTGGCGTGCAGGGACTTCCCGGGCACCCTTCTCCACTGAGGCGGTGGCTGGCCAGTCTGCTGGGGCTTGGTCACAGTCCTCAACGCTCTCACACATCTGGGCCCAGATGTGGCAGGTCTGCGTCAAGCAGCCTGTAGAACCCACCCCGCTCGGACCTCGCCAGCCGGCTGCCCCATTTCACCAACGGCCCCAGGCTGGGGCGCCGTGTTTCCAGCAGGAAGGTTGAAGGGGGAAGAGAGGCCTGCCTGGGCGGGGCCCACAGGCAGTGCCTCCCGGAGCCGTCCCGTCTGCTCCTCTGCAGATTTGTCTGGACGGGGCTGCAGCTGGGGTCCACCCTCGGCCTTCAGTGAAGGACATGGTGGGAAAGAGCATCCCCAGACCGAGAGCCCGGCACCGGCGAAGCGACGCCGAGGCTGGTACGGACTGTGACCGTCGCTGATGAAGTGCCGGAGCGAAGATGCCGGTTACAGCCAAATGTACTTCGACGCCTTCCAACAACGGGATCTTCAAGGCCCGTGAGGACCACTGCAGCTTTCCTTCCCTTCAGCCACTATCAAGTTCAGAGTCAGGGCAGCAGCCAAGGAGACTGCACCAGAGCACCTGGCACCCGGGAGGCACCACGACACGAGATCCACAACCTCTTTCCTAAGCTCTTAGCATCACGGGCTGCTTTGCTCCAAGCAGGTCTTTTCCTGTCACGTTGTTCAGAAACCTTCCTAGGGCTGAACCGCGTCCCCCCACATAGTCATATGTTGCAGTCCTAGTCCCCAGTGCTGCAGAATGTGACCTCATTGGGAAAGAGGACGGTCACGGAGGTCATTCATGATGTAGTCACACTGGCGCAGGGTGGGCTGCAAATCCAGTAACTGTGTCCTCGGAAAAACGGGGGAGAGTGGCCAGAGACGCCCACAGGGAGAATGCCATGTGAAGGTGAAGGGAGATGTCCGGGTGAGGCTTCCGGGAGCCCAGAATGCCAGACATGGCCGGTGACCCCCAAGCCAGGGGAGAGCCCGGGACAGATTCTCCCTCACGGCCTCGGAAGGAACCAACCTGGCCACACCCTGATCTCGGACTTACAGCCTCTGGGACCATGAGAACAAGTGTCAGTCGGGTGGCGTCGCGGACACCACAAACACCATCTGCGGTGCTTCGCTGCGGCGGCCCTGAGGACCTCCTCCACTCCCCCGGGGTACCAACTGGCCAGGGAGCCGCTCCACCCACAGCCAGAGCCCAGCCCCCACCCCCCGGGGATCTTCCTCCCCGGCAGGCAACCCGATCTGACGAACTACATGTCTTACTTATTTAACGGTGTACGACGCCCGAAGAGGGCGGAACTTTCACGTTTGCTGCGGTATCGCCAGCACCCCGCACGGTCACCCGTGGACCACAAGCAGGCAGGGAGCAGTCGCTGAGCGAGGGCACAAAAGCAGCTGCCGTTCCTGCTAGTGATGCCTACCTACGCCGCGTCTCCTGCGCTCTGCTCGCAGCTCGCCAGTCATACCGTTCCGGGTCCCGGTGTTTACGTCCCGCGCTGGGCGGGGGAAGCGGCCCAGCAGTGGTGTTAAGTGCCCTGAGCCACAGCCCCAGTTTCAAACCCTGGCTTTGCCCCTCTCTACCTCTGTGACCTTGGGAGACCTGTCATTACTCGAAACATCAGCTCCTTCAAGCCTAAATTGGGGATCACCTCTCCCAGGCTGTGGTGAGGATAACGGAGACAAGGTACGGAAGGGCCTGGCCCACACTCACAGCGGTTGCCTGCGCTGCTGGCACAGGACACAGGGGCAGGGAGACTCCTCACTCCCTACTTGGATCGAGGAATGACATTTGAACCAAAGAGGATGGACTGAATGCTGCTGAGGTCCAGGGCACATCCAGGTGGGCTGCGATATGCGGGACCTCAGAGTCTGAGGGGCAGATGAGCCTTTGGAAAGATGCAGATTTCGTGGTGAGAGTGGGGCTTCAACCTTGGGGAAAACCTGTAGTCCCCACAACGTACCGGCCCTTGAGTCTCCCCCAGCGTGGCCACCCTTGCCTTGTGCCCCACCACAAGTGGCACACTTTGGCCCCTGCAGACACCTCTGCCTAGGTACCCCTTGTCCTCACCCTGGCCTTCCTTACCCCTAACTCCTCGCGTCCCAGATCTCAACTCTGACTTTCCTGAGGGCACCTCTTGGGCTCCCCAAGCTGCAAGAAGGCCATCCCAGGTACAGTCACGTAGTGGTCTCGGACTTAACATCTTTGTTAACAAGCGTGCTATCTGAGGGCAGCTGTAGGCCATGGAACTCAGCACTAGGCAGAGGACATGGCCCCTCGAATGTACTGGTTGTATAACGATGAGTTTTCTGCACCCGAGTGACTGTCTGCTTTCCTGGCATCTGCAAAGATTTTCTAAATGCAGGACAGAATTCCTAACAGACTGGGAGCTTTGGGCTGAGAATAAACAACCCGGAGCTGGCGGAGAGGAACCAAAGTCCCCCGGCGCGTGGAGAGGCCGTGACACGTGGTTTCCTTCACCAGCCCCCACAGGGAAAGGCCCCTCTGGGAGTCGGAGCTAGCCACAGGGATACATGGGCCGCGCTCCTGTCCTCAGGGAGCACGCGACAGGCCCTACGTGCAGGCAGGCCCAGGAAGTCAGCCGAGGAGTGTTTTGTGGGTTTGGGGATGATTAAACCACGGAGCAACCCGTATCACGAACAGTTCAGCAGGAGCAGCAGACCACCGCCCTCCAAGCTGAGTGTGTGCGGCCAAGAGCCAGACTCCAAGACGTCCCCAGCAGGAGGGAGCACGGGCTCTCAGGGCCAGCCCCAGGTTTGACTTGGGAGGCCCGCGCAGCAACGCTGGGAACCTTTATTAATTTTACAAGCACCCCAAAGTCCCGATGCCCTGGGGAGCCCAGCCATGGTACAGGTCCCAAGAGGGACCTTTCTGGGCACCCACATGATCAGTGATACGAGATGCCCGGCTAGCGGGTCCACAGGCTCACACAGGGCAGTCTCATTCCGAGTGGCTTCCCGTCGAGGGGTAGCGCGGGCAAACGCGGTTTCTGCCAGGCTGCCACAGAAGCCAGGCCGGGGCACTGGCTGGGGCAGTGCGAGGACAGGTGTGCTAAAGGAGGGCTCGGCAGGGAGTAAAGGTCAGGAACACGCGAAGTTAGTCCCAGACTGGGTCTGGGGCTGCCGAGGATCACAGGAGCCTGCAGGCAGACACTTGGGGATGGGGAGGGAGGAGGCAGGGCTCCGGGCTGAGACAAGGAGGGGGTGGTGAGCGAGAGCAGCCTGAGAACACGAAGCCGTCCTGTGAGGCCCGGAAGACTTGCCAAGTCGTCCCAGAAAGCCCCCGCAGCCCCTGAACGGGGAGTGCCTGGTGCCGTCCCGCCGGAGCCCCCTGGCTGTGCCGCACAGCTCCCTGCTTTGCTCAAGCTGCCGGGCAACGTGACGCCGCCCACAGACCGTCCCCCACCCTGCACCTCTCCCACACGTGCCTTTCAGATCTTCGGGATATTATTTGAACCTTTGTGTGCACGTGCCCTGACAGCCGGCAGGGGCTCCGTAAACAGCGGCAGAGCGGGTGACGGACCCGGCCGTGATGGGGCAGGAAGGGAGACGTTGGCCAGGAGGGGGATGCCGCACAAACGCTCGTCCGGCATGAAGACAGCACCACCTGGGCCCAGGGCGGGGGATGACCGCCCTCAGTGAAGTGCCCTTCCTGGTGACAGTCCCTTTGCTCGTTGAGCTGAGGCGGCTGAGTGGCAGCAGCACGGGGTGGGGGCGGTCCCCGCCCAGCACGCACTGGACAGGCACCACTCCAGCTCCGAGCAGACGCCCCCAGAGCAGCAGGGCCCTGTGCAGCGGTCCCCTCATCAGCGACGATGAAGTAATAAGGGGGCAATCCCTCATCCGGGGGAGGCAAGGGGAGGCCGCTCCCCCAGGCTGGGCCGAAGAGGCAACAGCAGTGCTTTACCTTAATGGTCTTTGACTGGAGCCGCAGGCCATTCAGCGTGTTGATCGCTCTCTCCGCGTCCTTGGCGGTCACGTAGTTCACAAAGCCGTAGCCGAGGCTGTGCCCTGTGTGGGAGAACACGTGCACAACGGTCACAGCCGAGAGCCAGGGCGGGTGAACAGGGCAACGACTGACTGGGCTCGGGAGGAGGAGGTCGCCAAGAGCCACGGCCCCTAGGAAATGGGCTCAGAGACCGGTGGTCACGATCTCTACTCGCTTTTTGGTACGCTTCTTGGCAAACTTGCAAGTTTTCTACAACGAACAAATTACCTTTATTTAAAAAGAGATACTATGTGGGGCGCTTGGGTGGCTCAGTCGGTTAAGTGTCCAACTCCTGATTTCCACTGTCATGATCTCAGGGTCATGAGATCGCGCCCCACGTCAAGCCCCACTCTGGGCAGAGTCGGCTTGGGATTCTCTCCCTTTCCCTCTCCCTCTGCTTCTGCGCACACGTGCTCTCTCAAATAAATAAATAAAATCTTGAAAATAAAAAAAGAAGAAACGCCGTTCCTAAGAGCTCCCCATGGAGGCTCTCACCAAGGCAATGACAACGATCAGTCTCACCGGCCGTCAGCTGAGATGTGGGGACTCCGAGGGCGAGGACAGAGGGCAGTCACAACTGGTAAGACAGGCAGGTGGGGAGGGCCGAATGGTGACCAGCTGTCTGTGTCCAGGGGTTTCTCCACAACTCACCCCCGAGTGGGAAGGTTTGCTGGGCTCTGGTGCCACCCAGCGTCGGGTCCCACACTTTCCCAAACCTACAGCTCAGCTACGAGCAGATGCCAGGGAGCTCGAGGAGAAGCTGGAGCTGAGAGCAGTCCCAGGCCAGCCTGGCATCACAGCCCCGGCCAAGGCTCCAGGGCTGCCCTTGGCGGTGGCCCATGGTGGTGGCAGCAGCACCTGAAGTCTTGGGGGGGGATGCGTTTAGGGGGAGGAACTACGGGTTACTAAGAAAGACATCTAGGGTCACAGAGACGTGTCCCCTCTCCTTGGTGAAACATTCAAGTGGTGACAGTGACCACCAACGGCATGCCACGGGAGGGGCTCAGCCTAAGAGGGGAGGGGCTGTGGGTTCCCAGGAGGTCCCCAGAGAAGCAAAGGCTGAGGGATGGAGTAGAAGGAGGCTAGTCCTTTCCCTACAGGAGGGGCAGGCAGAGGCCCAGAGAAGAGAACCAACGCGCCCACCCTTACCCATCCACGCGCCATGCTAGGGGGCAGCCACTGAGTGCTGGGCACTGCTCTGGGCATAGAGATAGAGCGGTGAGCCTCGCTTTCCTCCTCCAGTTGGTGGAGGGCGACAACAAGCAGATAAAAAACACCAGGCCTTTAGCCACATGACGCAGAATTCCTCGGGTGTCTGCTGAACTCAGGCCCTCTGGGAGGTAATGAGACGTGGAACCTAGCAGAGTCTAACCCAGTTTTGTCGCTTTCCTAAAACAGACAAAAAAACCCCCAACAAAACCCTTTACTTTTTAGATTTAAAGTTACAAAGATAATACAGAGAGTTCCTATAGAGCCTACACCCCATTTCCCCTGGTGGTAACATCTTCCGCCAGAATGGGACATTTGTTACAACTCAGGAATGAGGACTGATATGTGGCTAGCTAACCACACTTGAGTCAGATGGCCTTTGTTTTCCCCTAACGGCGCTTTCTGTCCCAGGAGGCCATCGAGGATCCCACAGGACATGTAGCCGTCAGATCTCCGTAGGCTGCTCTTGGCCGGAACGGCTTCTCGGACTTCCCTTGTTTTTTTTGTTTTTTTTTTTTAAAGATTTTATTTATTTATTTGACAGACAGAGATCACAAGTAGGCAGAGAGGCAGGCAGAGAGAGAGGGGGAAGCAGGCTACCTCCTAAGCAGACAGCCCGATGTGGAGCTCGATCCCAGGACCCTGAGACCATGACCTGAGCCCGGAGGCTGAGGCTTTAACCCACTGAGCCACCCAGGCACCTGACTTCCCTTGTTTTTGGTGACCCTGAGCGTTTCAAGGAGGACTGGTCAGGAATGTTGTGAAGTCTCCTGCAGCTTGGGTCCGTCAGATATTTTCCATGGTGAGGCTGGGCTGTTGCATTTTGTGAGGAAGTGAAGTGCCCTCCTGACACCCTAGGGGCGGGTGTGCTGTCCCCGTCACTTATCACTGCTGATGCTGGCCCGGATCCCCTGGCCGAGGCCGTGGGTTTGCCAGGTTTCTCCGCTGTCAAGTCCCCCTCGCCCCACACTCAGGCCGCGGAAGGCAGGCAGTGCACAGCCCACACCAAAGGAGGGCCTTGGGGAGATGTACTCTCCCTCCTTCAGGGCAGAGTAGCTACATAAACTGTCCGCAGTTCTGCACAGGTCACTTTCTTTTTTAAAGAAACAAAACCCAGACCTCACCCTCCACACTCAAACTACTTCTTTTTTTTCTTAAAATTTTATCTCATATTAAAGAGAGAGAGAGAATAAGTAAATGAGAGCAAGCAGGGGGTCCGGAGAGGGACAAGGAGACTCCGCACTGAGCTCCAAGCCCAGTGCGGGACTTGACCTCACGATGCTGCAATCATGACCTGAGCTGAAATTAAGAGCCGGACACTTAACCGACTGACCCCCACACGTGCCCCGACACCCAAACTTCGAACGAAACTTCGAACATAACTCCCCAGGTCTGAGAGACTTCGCTCTGACCGTGGGCCGTGAGGACCCCACAGCCGCATGCCCACGGGGCTGGGGCCCATCTAGCAGGAGAGTCAGACTCCGAAGCTCAGAAAACACGGTAGAGACTGCGGTCGGCTCCAGGCTGGACTTTAGGGCCCCTTGCGAACAGTCCAGACTACAATGTCGAAGCTGAGGACGCAGAAGGCCTGTGGTATGGACTCCCGAACTGAACTACACGCTTGCTGGGATTTTTCCTCATAAACACCTGCTCTCCGATCCCCACTCTACCCATCCGTCATGGTGCCCAGGCCATGAAGCCCGCTGGCCCAGCCCCCAGGGGGGCTCCTCTGCCTCTCTGGTGCGCACAACCAGTGCTCGGGTCTTCCTGTATTTCTGCTCTTTCCACAAGGCCAATCCCAGTCCTGGACCACCTGTCTCCTTCACTGGTGGCGCAGGTGGCCTAAGCCCTGGTACAGAACACTAGACACTGATGAGGACTCGTGCCCAGGCTGCGCTCCTGTGTCTCAGCCACAGGTGGCTCCTGGTGGCATATAAACATGGGTCCTACTTGGACCCACTGCCTGATTCCTTGCCTCCCTGGTGCTTGGTGGCCCTGGCCAGGCTCCCAGGGTGGTCACTGCAGAACACCAGCTCTTCTGTCTGTGCCACTCCACAGACAGGTGCCTCCTCCTCCTCCAGGATGTGATGACAACAGCAAGTTTTCTTTCTCCCCAACGGTCCCTCCTCAAGCTCCTAGTCTTCTACCCATTCCATCGAGATGGCCCCCCAAGGGTTCTGCCTCTGGCTCTTGTCTCAATCATACATTCCTCCTGAGTGGCCTCCTTGAGCACCATGGACCCACACCTTGCAATGTCACCCAGGAAGTCACACACTGCCAGATGGCCACTGCCTCCTGTCTCAGGCTTGCTATCCCTGCCCCTCAATGAGCCAACAGGTGTTAACTGAGCAGCTACTATGTGTCAGGACCCATGCCAGGCTGGCCAGGGGGTTCAATGATGATCATGAAGGACAGCCTGTGCCTCAATGAATGTCCCATTCCAGTGGGCAAGCTGGATGACAAACCAGCACGAAACCAATGAACAAAACCGCCACCAAGGTGCTATGAGGACAGTCCCCGCTGTGGTTGAGAGGGACTGATGGGACAAGGCCGGGGTCGACAGGGCAGCTAGGAATGCTCTGAGGAGCCGATGACTGCAGTAAAACCCTGGGACGGTTGCGGGCAAGCAGTCCAGACAGAAGAGCAAGTGCCAAGTCTGTGAGGCAGAGGAGACGCTGGTGTGTTCCAGGAAATGAAAGGCGACCAGCACAGTTGAACAAAACGAGCTGGGAAATGGCCCAGAGGTGGCTGCTGGGTGGAGTGGGGCCGGGCCGCCAGGCCCAGGAGCGAGACCAGGTGTGGATGCACAGGCTGGGGTAGCAGCAGAAGGACCCACCAAGAGGACCCACAGATTGGCTGCCGGAGGAGGGAGCTCAGAGGAGACCGAGTTTCCCTAAGTGCCACGGAGTAGCTCCCCACCAGCATGCCCAACCCGGGCCTTCTGGGGCCTGGAGCTGTGTGGGGGGGATCTCCGCACACCCCGTTCTGGGTCTGGCCCTGTCCTCTTGGAGTCTGCTCAACCCTCTGTGGCGGGCACCTGCGTACAGTGGGAGGGCAGGCAGCTGAGGAATGAAGGGGAGCCCCTGGTTTGCACCCACATGAGGCCACACACGGAAGTGCCAAGTCCCGGCCTCCACCCAGCTGTTGCCCATAAAACAACCGTGTTCAACTCTGGCTGCTTGCTAGAATCACCAGGGCAGCCTCTAAAAACGATCACTGCCCGGGTCCTAACCTGAACCAATGACAGCGGTGTGGGGGTGTACACAGTAGGAGGGGAGGCGGCATCAGTTGTTCTGAAAGCTCCCCGGCGACTGCAATGAGGAGTTGAGAGCTGCTGCTGGAAGTGAATGAGGAGAGTGGAACCCTTCAACAGCACAGAAGCCTGTTGGTGTGGCTCAGAGTAGGCACCTGGGGGAAGGCCCTCACCTCCCCAAGCAGCCCCCACGTTACCGCTTCTCTAACAGGGTCTATAAGTCATGCCGGGCAACGACACAGCTCCCAAGGCCTGCCTCAGCCTAAGGATCCAAGATGTCAGGCAGGCCGACTTCCAGTCTCCCTACAGATGATTCTCCCGTCCCCTAGAGGTAATGAGCCTGCCAGGATCCCGGCCATGAAGGCGGATCAGGGGCAGCCCCCTCTCATTCAGGGCACTGGAAGACGAGCCCTGACGGAGGAAAGTCTGAGGTCTGGTGGGGGAACAGGGGTGCTCAGGGGCAGTGCTCGGGCCAGGTACGGACCCTGCACAGGCTGCTGGGGCTTAAGGAGGGAAGGACCTGCCTGGAGTCAGTGCTGGCAGGTGAGGGCAACCAGAAGC